GAGAGAGAGAGAGAGAGAGAGAGAGAGAGAGAGAGAGCAGAGGCGACGACAGCACGCTGCCCCCGCCGCCGCGCCCCCCTTGAGACCACACGGACGCCCATGAACGCCGCTGAGCGCACCCATGCTGTGCCGCGGCTGGTGGGGCGCCGCCTGCAGCGTCGTCGCCAGGTACATGATCCCCTCCCCTTCCGCCGCCACCAGCCCGCCCGCCGCCACGAACGCACGCAGCGCCGCGAGCATGCTGCGGTTCGCCGCCAGCCGCGCGGCCCACTGCTCCGGCGCGCCGCCGCCGACAAGCAGCGCGGACGCGCCGGGGGGCGGCTGGGAGTCCCGCAGCGGGGAGAACGGCACCAGCTGGGCGCCTGCCGCTGCCAGTAGAGACAGGTTCCTGCGGGTGTGAAGGGGGGCAAGGAGTCAAGCACAGGCGAGCTGCGGGATCAGGGCAAGTCGAGGGGCTGCTTTCCAGGCCGCCTTTCACACATGAACCTGCCCGGGGCTGTGAGGGGCCGTGAGGCGCACACCGCCTGCGCTGCGAGCGCCGCTCTGCTCCTGCCCGACCCTGACCCCGCCCAAAAAGCTGTGGGCCGTGCTTGCGCCCCGCGCCGGCAAGGCGCACGACGGCCGGGGGCCCCCGCCCTCCATTGCGCCCCGTCCTGCCGTCCAATGCGCCCTGGACTAAAGCGGCCACTCACTGCTGGAAGTATCGGTGGAAGGCCTGGTCAAAGGCGATGCCGACCACCACCCTGAACGCGCGCGCCGGCGGCGGCAGCGGGGCCTCGGGCGCCGGCGTGCGCGCGCGCGCCGCGATCGCCAGCAGCGCGTCCGCGTCCAGGGACAGCTGGCGCCGCGCGCGCGCCGCCAGGGCGGCCTCATGCGCCGCCTCGCCGCCGCCGCCGCCGCCGCCGAATGAGTGGCGCGGCTGGGAGCTGCCGCTCCATTCGCTGCAGGCCGAGCCAATGACCGAGGCGCACGCGGTGCCACCCCACGCGCCCGCCCCCGCGCCGGAGCCCGCGCCCGCGGCGCCGTCGCCCAGCTGCGGCAGCGACCCGACGACGGGCGCGTCCACGCCGGCGGCCGCGAGGCCGCGCACGAGCTCCTCCACCGCGCCCGCCCCGCCGGTGCGGTTGAGCAGCAGGCCGGCCACCTCGAGGCCGCCATCGGCAGAGGCGAACCCCCGCAGCAGCGCGGCGATGCTGGCGGCGCTGCGGAAGGCGGCGACGTCGACCACCAGCAGGATGGGCAGCCCCAGCGCCCGCGCCAGCTCCGCCGTGCTGCAGCCCCGCGCCGCGGCTGCAACCGGCGCGCCGCCGCCGCCGGCGTCGGCGCCTGCGCACCCTGCGTGTGCCGGCGCCGGCGCGGCGTCGCTGGCAGAGTCGAGCACCGACAGGCGGGCGTCAACGATGCTGATGTCTCCGCCTTCCGCGGCTTGCGTGTAGCACGCCAGCAGCGTATCGTGGTCCGGCGTCAGGCTCAGATCAATGCAGGCGGGCCCTTGCGGGAGCGCAGCCGCCGCGCCAGCGCCGGCGCCAGCGCCGGCGCCGCCGCACGCGCAGTCACTCCCGTCGTGGCTGGCGCCGTTGCAGAGGCCGCCGTCGTCGCCCGTGGGCGCGGGCGCCCCGGTGAATGCGGCGCCGAGAGTGAAGCTGCGCACATCAAGCCCTCGATCCCTTTTGGGGGGATAGCGGCGCGGCAGCCAAGGATGAATGGCACGCTGGGTGTGCTGCGGCTGCAGCTGCTGCTGCCGCTGCAGGTGCCGCTTCAGACAGCACTCCTGCCTCGCTGCTACACGCCCAATCAGGGACGGGACTATGCTTTCCGTAGCTCTCTTAAGGGCTGCAGAGGCCGATCGCTTGCACAGCAGCCCTCCTTGGCGCAGCAGGAACAACCATCGCAGCTCAGGCACCGACCTTCAAAGCGCGACAACGGTGGCGCGCGCCATGCAGTTCACCTGAGGACGCATGCGATGGCCGCCGCGACAACAGACTTGCCGGCGCCGCCATGCGTGCCGCCCAGGACAAAGCCCCCCATGCAGCAGCACTCCTGCATGGAAGGCACCACGGGTGGGTTGAGCTGCGCCGGCGCCCCCTCGCACTCCGACAACAGCAGCGTCAAGGTGGCGCCCGGCGCCGGATGAGACTCGGCAGGGCACGCCATGGCGACCAGATGCTGAATGTTACTCACCTATAGGCGTTGTCACACCATGCCTGCCGCCTTGAAGAGGGCCATGGCCCCCCGTGCCTTTGGTAAGCTGGCTGCTGTCACCTAGACCCACGCAAAGCTGTGATACTGTGATCAGGGCGGCGACAGCGGCACAAAAAGTGCCGTGACAAGTCTAGGTTCGTCGATGTGCAGTGTGCTGCTCTTGCGAGTAGCAAAGTTGCAGGCGTCAGATATGGCGTCTGTTAATGTGATATCTGGGGTATGCAAGCAAGATTCAACAAGATTTACTACACTACAGTCGTGCCATGACGGACATCCTGGGGAGATGGCGACGAAGGCAAGCAGGATTGCAGCGAGGAGACACTCATCGAATGCTGATTGTGTCAAAAAACAGGGCGCAAACTTGGCTCGAGCGCACCGCGCCGCCCACCCGTGCTGCTCGCCCGTTGCCGCCAGCGAGCGGGCCATGCCGCCACCTGGCCAACGCGGTGCCCAGCCAAGAAGAGCGGTGTCCAGCCACTCGCTTGCACACAAGGGTCGCAGCTGGGCCTTCGTGTGTCCAATGTCAGGCTTCAGCAAGCCTTAATGGTCGGTTCGCTGCGGAAGGCGACCTTTGACCAAAAGCGAGCGGGCTGACCCTCATCTGCTGTCATACGATGCCCACCGTCGGGGCAGCAAGGCCTGTGGAGGGATCCCTGCATCATGCTAGCAAACTCACAGCCCGTGAGTACAACGAAATGCTAGCATGAAGCAGGGGGCCCCTTCACAGTTCCCAGTGCCCCTGCCAGGGCTGCCCCATTTCATTTCGCGCTCGGCTCGCAGGATTCGCATGCGGCATGCTGCCCGCCGGCCCCAGCAGTCATCCTGATGCGTGCGCCCCAGGTGCTTGAGCCCCCCGATGCACAAGCATCTGCATCCAAGCCACAGCTTATCGCGGGGACAAGGCGAGCTCCATCCAGCCCCCACCGCGCGTAGTTGCGCCGCCTGGCGCTGCTCGCCAACTGCCCCCCCCCCCCGCTCGCATGGATACTCATCCTGGCATACATTAGGCATATTATGGACCATCCAGGCTCAATTACTGGCATATTGACCCCAATTGTAGATGCCTTGAAAGCCAGTGACACATACAAACACAATCATGTGCGCGCACATGAAAAAGGGGCCGAAGCGCAGCGACCAGCCAACGCCGCAGGTGAGGATTCCAGGCGCTAAGTTTATGCGAGCACGGCGCACCCATGGCCCTCTGGCTGTGTAAGATTGACGTGCCGCGTGACACCAGTGCCGTGCACCGCAGGGCGCCCACACGAGTTGCTGTGGAACCCTACCAGCGGCGCGCGTTCCCCCCGCCTCGAAACTGCTGTCGCGGTATGGTCACCGCGTAATCGCAGACCCCCTGAGTCGCAAGAGAGTGCGGGGTCCCGCCTGCCCAAACTGTTCATTCATGCCCCGCTCGGTGTGCATGCGGCACATGTGCAAATCTAGCTTGTACTTCTGAGCATGCATCGACGGCCATGTATGCGTGCTAATTTGTGTGCTTGCCATGCAAAGGCCGTCGCAGATATGTTGTTGCGACGCCGTACGCGCCCACGCAGCCGGACAAGGCGTGGTGGCCCGCCGGCACGCATTCCATCGCGCAACGTGGCCCCGGGCGGCTGGGCCAGCGGTCAGGGCCACATTTCGTTTCACACACACACCACAGGAACACCAGGCTAAGGGACCCGCAGCCTCTGCAGACACCTGGTGCCCCCTGTCCCTCCATCCTCCCAAGAAAATTTTGCACACTACCTCTGCAACAAGCGCCCGCCGACGAGAGGGGCGCTGCGCCGCGCCGCGCCGCGCCGCGTCACCTCCGCGCCGAGCCGTGTCGCGCCGCGCCAGGTCACCTCCGCGCGTGCGCCTGCGCCAGCGCCTCCTGCACCGCGGCCCGCGCCTCCTCAGGCGTCTCCACGCGCCGCCCGAACCCGAGCCGCTCGACGTTGAAGTCGCCCCCGTGGCGCACGCGCACGTCGGCGCCCAGGGCGTCGATTGATATGAGGAGCGCCTCGTCAGCGGGGGCGTCCGGGTCGATCAGGCGGGCCAGATCACTCGAGAAAGCCTCGTTGAGCTCCTAGGGTTGTGTTGGGGAGGGGGTCAGATGTCTTGAGGGCGGGGCTGCGGCGCGGTCGTGTGCTTCAAAGGGAAGAGGTTGCAAGGAGGGACAGAGCGCCGCAAAGCGGCTGCACACGCAAGCAGCGCTGGCCGCGGGCGGGCGAGCTGTCGGTCGCTGGAGTTCGAATCGACCCGGCTTTGATGTGCCGGTGCCGTGCCGGGGGCGCCGCGCGCGCCGAGCGGGGCGCGGCGCGGCGCGAGCAGGGGGGGAGGGGGCTTCCGAGGGTGCACTCACGGTGAGCGTCCGCTTGGGCTGGTTTGTCGCGATCGCGTCAGGTGTTGCTGAGAGGTACTCCGCGACGTCGATCCACTGCACTGTCCCAAAGCCCCCCACGAAGTAGATGTCTGTGATGCGGTGCATCCTAGGGCAGACGCGGGCGTGGAGGGCCGGGCGGAGGGGCGGGTGCGCATGCTCGAGGGCCGGCAATGGCCACGTCTTGGCGCAGCGTGCGGCGGCGGCGCGCAGCGGGCGGTGGCGCGCCTCGCTGCGGCAGTGGCCGGCCGGGGTGGGGC